GTTTGTGAGGGCTGTGCTTCTTCTTCCTAATAATAACTAACACTGCCATGAGAAGTCTTTAGAGAAGAGCCTCTGCTGTCCCGAGGACCTGGCCACTGGTGTGTGGGAAACGGGCCCTCGGGCTGAGGTCACAGGTGCCCTCTGGTGGCAGCTGGTGGGATGGCTCCAAGGCTGGGCCCAGCGTCAGTCTTGTGCTCGGTGGTTTAACAAGTCCAGGCCCAGGATTCAGCCTCCCTTGGGAACTTGTGACAGATGCATTTCTGGGAACCCTAAGATTTGAGAACCATGGTTCTGTATCAGTATGGGCCCGGCAGCACACTGGAAGCAGAGACGTGTCAGAAGCAGAGGCCTCTGCGAGCGCAACTGGGTCCCTCATCAAGACCCACAGCCAGTCAGGAGCAAACTCATCGAGGGAGGATACAGAGTGGCAGGTACCAGGCCTAGACTATCTCAGAAGGGTCCCTGCCACACTTCGCCCTGCCTCCTTGTTACCTCCAAGTGTCTAGAGGCGGTGGCCCTGGAAAAGAGCAGAAGAGATGAGAGCAGCTTCCAAACTGAACTGGCCCAGATTTCTTGGCCAGGGTTTAAAAGGTGCCATCACCCATAGCTAAGGCTGGGGAATCAGAAGAGAAACCTGAGGTGTCCGTCACAGCAGGCAGAGCCAGCACCCAGAAAATCCTCCGAGGGGCATGGTAAGACCTGAACGTCCGGGTAAAGCAGAGGAGCTAAGGGCAAATGTTGAGACTGGGAAGTGGAGCCCCTCCAACTGAGCCCAAGGAAGGCAGGCAGAGAGAAAGCAAGCGTGGGCCCTCGGTCAGATGCAAGAAGATCCGTCCTAAGACTCGTTCGGCCAGACACCTTCCTGAGGGCAGGGCCTGCTAAGTGGATCACCGTCCGGGCCGACTCTTGCTGTCGGGCTGGCTCTGGGGCAAGTCAGGTCTAAGGCTCCCGTGGGGTGAAGAATGGATAGGCTGCTGGCACTGGCACACGGTCCCCTGCGGCGAGGGCTCCAAGACAGAAGACGGGGATTATTCACAGTACATCCAGCTGTGTAGGAGATCTTCCTACCTGGCTATATCAACCAGGGTTTGCAGAGATGCCAGCGGGAGATGCCATAGTAAATATGCTACTTTGAATTCTGCCTCTCCTTCCAGAAAGTGTTTAAACTTGTCCTTTCAGTGGTACTGTTACAGAGATGCTCCGATGCCGTTAAGATGCCTCATCTATTTACTGACTTTCAGTCAGTATTTATTGAGCACCTACTGTGTAGCAGTCAATATTCTAGGTTCCAGGGTTACAGCAGCAAATAAACAGACACAAATCTTGACTCTCACAGAGCTTATATTCCAATGGTGAGGAAACGTAAGGTGTTAGAGATTTTTACCTGCATGCTTCCCCTTCAATTAAGCTCTTAATTCTAAAACATAAAAGTCTGAGTAGTGACCTTTTGTGGACTAGAAGAGGGTGACACCATGGTCTCCAGGTCAGGGAAGTCAGCTCAGCCACCAAATCACCTGGAGAACTTACTGAAACGCAGGTTCAGGTGAGGGTGGGGCACTCTGGGAACACTCAGGTCCCGGTCTAACGGGGTATGAGCGTTGCTGGTCTGCAGTTGCTGGCCACGCTTCTGAGTAGGTGGGTTTAGGACGCAGCTGACCCCGAGGAGCCAGAACCCTGTCCTCATGACTCACCGCTGCCGGTCTGCACTTCCCTTCGGGAGGCGGCCCTGGACCGTTTGCAGAGTGCTCTTTGCATTGCGTCCCCAGTCTCCACGGCATCTCCTCTAAGAAGACAAGAACAAGACTCCTGCAGAAAAGAACTCCAACACGTCAGGAGGCGAGAACCAGCAACGCAAAGCTGGCGGTCTCCCCTCCCGGTCTGCGGGGCCTGGCTGTGGCACAGGGCTCTGCATGAACAAGAGCACAGCAGGGCTCTTAGACAGTGGCTCGTTTGGCAGGGGCTGCCAGACCTGGGAAGAAACAGGGGCAGCAGTAAACCGCACCAACAGTCACATACAGCCAGGCATTTACAGTCTCAGGGGCCCTTTAACCTAGATGGGCCTGCTACTATGACCTATCTGGAGTTTTCTAGTTTGGCTTCATAGAAACACTTTACAGTGCACTTCTGGTTTACCTCCTTCCAGAAACTGTTGTTTAAACCTGTCCTTCTAGTGGTACTGTTACAGAGATGCTCCGTAACCTCTGGTGTGCTGTGAACTTCTCAAGCAGCAACATGATGGCAACTGTTAGAAATGTTCAGCCCTCCCAAGCAGCATCCCAGAGCCTGGAATAATATAGACGGGTGAACATGTGGGAATGGGATGGTAGGAGGGAGAACGACTCCTTGCCTTCAGGCCGGGAGCCACAACAAACTGTTCATTCTCATTTTATAGGATCTCTTAAGATTATCACAGGGAGGATGAACATATGACAGCTATTTCCTTCTGTAAAGTGGGAGATGTCAGTAAAAAGAGGTTTTATCTGGCCAGTCAAAACACAGCCCCTTCTTCCTGTAAATATTTAATCATCTACAATGGCAAACATTGCTTTATGGCATGTAATAAATTATAATGTGCTAAGATGGGGAGCCACTTTATGATGGGACTAAAATAACAAAGATGACAACTGGAGATTGCCTTGGTGGGAAAGAACGTGCCAACGAGAACACTACAAGCAGACACAGTCCTTCAGGAAAAGTGAAAGACAGAAGCCAAGCCAAGCTAAGCCAGCCCAGCCCAGCCCAGCCCGGGTATTTCCCTGAGGAATTCTGCTCATGGTACCAAGTGTGGGTGCCTGTAAGGGACTTTATGGCCAAGACTCAGAAAAGCTACCCAGCAACAAGGACAAAGGGTGCGGTGCCAAGCGCAGAATTTTCCAGAACTCAAGCCAAGATCAATTGTAACAATGGCCAAGAGAGGAAAAGCACAGGCCAAGAGAGGCAGCTGGCTTCTCAGAAGATGAAAACAGACAAAGCCTCTAAAAATAAGGAAGATGATGGAAGGGTCTTCTTGAAGGTCAGTTCAGGATCTGGAGCAGATAGGAAACTCAACTGGGTACTGGTCACTAAGTAGCCAAAGACGATTCTGAGAGAGGGCAAGATACGGCAAACGAAACTTTCTCTCAAGATCTTCTTAGCATATCACCCCAGAGCCCCACCCCAACACTGTTTTGGGAAAGGAGAGCTATACCAGAAAGTAAGATGGCTTTGGCTCTAACCAGAGGTCAGAGAAGGCAGACGTGGGGAGAGCATGAATGAAAATAGATGTGTCTCAAGTAACAGCAGATAGCAAACCAACTCGAGATCCTGGATGGGCGTCTTCAAAGGCTCAGCCTGCTCCCCGACCAGTGCGGCCGCTGTGGGGGCTACTGCTACCTGCCGGGGAGACAAGGAGTAGCCATCTCAGCTCCACTCAGAACTATCTGCCTCGCTGTGCCCTCCGAAAGTTAAAAAGGCAGAAAACTAGTTTTATCAGTAAGAAAATGTTTATTCTTTTGAACCCCACAGGGGAAAAAACCAAAAAGAATGCAGCCAAGACCAAGTACTTAACGAAAATAGTGTCCCAAAGGCAGCAAAACGGGGGAAACCTCAACACAAAGTCAGTGACAATTTTCCATGTTTTTGCACAAAGATGAAAAAAATCTGACAATTCTGGGTAACACTTTCATGGTGACAATTACACAGGATGATTCAAAAATGCAAATGGCAGCAACATGCACACCTGGCTAAGGCTAGAAGTTTTTTTTTTTCCTTAATTCCAAAATAAGATGTGATTAAAAGGATGATTCTTTTTAATACTGCTATTTTACTGACTTGTCCTACTTAATTTGCTTTAAATGAAGATATACATGCCAATTAACAGGAAATTTTAGGACTATGACCTTCCAGAACCTGTGGCAAGGAAGCAAAACCGATCTGTTTTGTTTAACTTTTCCTAATTTCCAAATACAGTTCTGCTTTGCCCCCTCTCCCCGTCCCTCCCCCCACCCTACCCTGATTCTTAAATACTTCCGAAAGTTGCCTGTGCAAACACTTTTCCACTAATGTATTATAATACACAGTTGAAACCAGTATCTTTGTGCAGTTTTGAGTTGAAAAGTCTTTTAAAAAAAACCAGAAACCTGCTTGGCACAAGAGCTGAAGAAGAGACAAGCCTCTTTTAAACTGTCAAACAGAAGATGATGAGAAGTGGAAAATGCACAGTTAAATGAAGTGACGGGGGAAATCCCAGACCACACCTTTTATTAGCCAGTGTTACAGTCTCTCGGACAGGAACAACAGCCAGCTCCCTCCCAGGGGCCTGCCCGTGGCAAGCACAGCGCATCTGGTGTTTTCTACCCAGAGAAACAGAAGAGGCGGCGTGGTGGTAAGAACAGCCCACCCACCACCAGTTTCACAGCAGGATCCACACTGAGCTTGATACAGAGAGAAGACAGATGACCAAAAGGGGGAAAACAGTGTAAAAATAAGTTTCTTCTTGACGTGTCTCTTCCCAAGGCACTGTGAAGAAGACTGCTGCTGGCAATTTTCTAGGACTAAACACATGGATAAGAATATAAGTATTTCACACAGTCCCTGTCACATTCCTACAGCCAGTCTTATCACTTAAGTTCCTCCTCAGCTTAAATGAGACTCCTAGAATTTGTCTGGTCCGGGGTGGGGAAGTTTCCCTCTGTACTAGCGAGAATCACCTTCTTTACTTTTTTGGTTTTTTGGCACTGGGAATCGAACTCAGCACCTCACACTTGCCAGGCAGGCACTGTGCGGCTGAACTACATCCCCGGCCCTCATCTTCGTTAATGCAGCTATAAAATCAGCTAGGTCATTTAACCCCTTTTACTCTATACACTTTTTCATTATCATCCCACATGAATCCAATGTGTAGCTTTTGCCCGCTTATTTATGAAGAAAACAAGAGGTTGAAAAGCAAAACTTGCTTTTTTGTTTTTTTTTTTTCCTTCAAGAGGAAACTATATGTAAGAATACATAAAGGCAGAACTGGCTACTTGAAATCCAAGAATGGTTTTAATGTGTTGGCCGAGAAAAATAAACTGCAAAGTTCTGTGAGGTCTTCTAAAAAATTTACAAGAACAACTGACGGGCAGTTCTAATCAGACCTGGATGTCACCTCCCCCCTTTTTAAAAATGACAACATGTACAGTCCCACAAAGTACAATATAAACTTTTTATCTTGACTGCCAGAGATGCTGCTTTGTGAGGCCTTTTGGTAAACCGCACGGTTGGGCCAACGCACAGTGGCCTTCACTTCTTCAGGGGCTGGTAGACAGAGGCGTTGGGGTCCAGTCCGGAGGGGCTGGTCTCCACAAACTTGGAAGAGTAGTGGGGGGAGACGGGGCTCAGGGGGCTGGTGGCAGCGCTGTACGTTATGCTGGGCATGACGGCCATGACTTCGGCTATCTTCTGTTTTAGGTCCTTGATTTCCTGGTCTTTTTGAAGGATTTGTCCTGGAAGATCAAACACTGCCATCAGTGGTGAGGGCGGGCTGAGAACACGGGGCCCCTTGGGCCAGCCTCTGAATGGCTCTATGCAGCGGGAACCACCCTGGGGTATGAGGACAGGCAGACCCCTGTGAAGGGCCAGACTGCACTTCGGGCACGGTGGGCCGTTTTCTTTATCACAGCTCCCCACCCCGGCCACGGGAGAATGTAAAGACCGCTCTTACTTGGCCCATCACAGCACAAGAACAGGCGCAGCCAGACTGGACTGTGGGCCACGGCTCCCTTCGGCTAAGAGGTAACAGGGGACTCTGTTCACATAGGTGCGACTAGAGTGAAGAAGTCAGCTTCTGGAAGGGTGCTGGTTTTGAGCTGGGGCTCCACCTCCTTCCTGGGAGGAGGGCCTATCTGAGTATCAGACCTGAGACCTGAGAATCAGTCACACCGGGTTCTCTTACACAAAGCAGAAGATGCTCTAGGACTGCTTCCCTGGCAGGATGTCCAAGTGACCCAGATCGCTCACCCCTGCCTCTTAGCACAGTGCTTCACTGCCGGCTGCCCAGCTGGCAGTGGCTACCCACAGCATTAGCCTCCTCAGCCATCAGCACTCCCTCCCTCACTGCACAAGGGCTTCGTGACCCAAGCAGCTTCACTGCCTCAGGGTCCCCTACCCTTCCCTTCCCTGTCGGGGCTTCTCTTGTGTTCTTTCCCTCTTTTTTTTGAGACAGAGTCTCAATATGTAATTCAGGTAGTTAAGGCTGGTCTTGAACTCACTATGTAGCTCAGGCTGGTCTTGAACTCACTATGTAGCTCAGGCTGGCCTCCAAAAGCAGCAACCCTCTTGCCTCAGCTTCCTGAAGGAGGGGATAACAGGCGTGTGCCACTACGCCCAGCCCCCTCTAACTCCAGAGGGCCGTTTCCACTTCCTCAGAAAAGCTTTGCCTCCTCTTTCCACCTAAATCAATTCCCCCAACTCTTAAGATTCTCAACATACACTGAATTCTCCTTTCTGTCCCTTATTTTTGTAACAACAACAAACACGTAAGGCTTCACAGGTGCCAGGTAATGTTCTAAGTGCTTACATATAATAATTTCTTTATCTCTACAACCCTAATGGGAAGCAATTATTATCATCATCTATTTTACAGAGGAAAAAAACTGAGAGGGCTGACTGACTTGCTCAAGGTTTACAGCAGTGACAGAGCTGGGGAGACTCCATGCAGTCTGGACGCAGAGCCTGCACTCTCTCCTACAGCATTCTTGTCCCTCTTCCAAGTACTGCTTAGGTAATGACCTGTGTCCATCATCTCCTTGCTGGACCATGAGCTCCACAAGGGGACAGACTGTCTCTCCTTTTTTTCCTCCACTGCTATCCCTTTACTGTCTAGCCCACAGGAGGCACAAATCACAGGTCTTGTTCAAAATTATCTTGATATAAGAGGTAGAGCAGGATTTAAACCAGGGCCCACTCTCTTCCAAAGCCCAGGCAATTTCTATCATGCTGTGTGGCTCCCTGGTATCAGGGAAGAAAGAATACTTAGCAGTGAAAAGAAAGGGACTGCACGTGAGCGGCCCTTATTTGGAGGCTGCTCATGGGTCCTACAGAAGACTACAGAAGTCTACTTGGAATGTGAGAGGGCTGGGTGGCATACATTAGTAGAGATGAAAGTCACTTTGTGACTAGGATGAATCAAATGATACAGGGTAGAATACCAAGGGAGTTTATCTGAATTACAAAGTTGGGTTATTAGAATATTCTGGCGGGACACAGGAGGGAGGCCATGGGAAGCAGCAGCAAAGAGCAGGGGAAAGGAAATGCTCCTTCTCTTCCTCCAGGTCCCCTAAGCCTCAAGTAAGCATCAAACACCCCCTTTCTCTTTGAACAAAATAAGTTTCAGATGAATAAAATACCTCAGGGCATCTGACATAAGAACCACTATGCCTTTTCCCATGCAGACTTAAGTTTGATTTCTTAAATCAGGAACATGCAAACATCCCAAGAGCTCTGGAAAAGACCTTTCCCACACCTGAGGATTCCTGAGCTTGTGCTGGGAGCCAAACTCCCTTTGTCTCCAGAGACCAGGTGCTGCTTCATCCCAGCGGGGGTATTTTCCAAGTGTGCTAAGCCAAGTAAGCAGGAATGAAGCACAGGGGCCACTACTCTTCAGGGAGCTGAGCTAGGGCGGCAAAAAGGCCACTGTCGGGCCAAAAGTTGAGCTTTAAAATGAGAATTCCCAGGAACCTTAAGTGCCCTTCCCGGAGTCCACAAAAAGTGCACCCAGTGCTCACCTCCTTTCTCTCTAGCTCAGTCATCTGGGTCACCCAAGCCAGCTGTGGATCCACTAACTTCTCACAATCTCTTTCGCCCCCAGGGGGTTTGGTCTCTCTGAGACTGATGAGCATCTCTTACCCGGGTATCTGGAGAGTGCCACAAATCAAAACATCCACCACCAAACTCATTTTCACCTTTCGTACCCTAAAGCTGTTCTACTCCTCCTCCTTCCTCTCTCAGGTATCTCCACTCTCCACAACTTACCTGTTCAGAACACGCCCTTGCCATCTTATCCTCCCCTAGGCAGAAGACAGTAACAGCTTCCCAACTGGCCTCTCTGCCTTCAGTCTTACTTCTCAAATTCATCTTTCACACTGCTATTGAAGATTTCCAGAATAATGGCCAGAATACAGCATCCCCTTCCTCTCAAAAATCGAGGGAATATGGTCTCTAACATGACTTTATTCGTGATTTTCCTAACCGCATTCTCTTCTTCCAGCCCTTAAGCTTGAGGCTGTTAGACTGCTCACCCGGACATTCCCAGCTCCTTATTTCCTTTGCTTACTCTACTCCCTCATGTGACAGTCTTCCTCCCTGCCATTCTCTGCTCTCAGAATCCATCCTCCAAAGCCTACTTAACGGCCCCTCCTTCACAAAGCCCTCCCTGACCTCTCCTTTGTCTTTTCTGGCCTTTACCTAATGGCAGCAGATCTTCCTCAGCTCACCCTTGCACAGCAGTTCTCAAAGCACAGTCAGGCTCCCACAGGGTCTCGATTACTTTCATAACAGTATTAAGCCACTGTCCTCACACTCATTCTGTAATGAGCATTACGTGGGGTCTCCTAGAAACTAGGTGGAGTGTGACTCTCAACAGAATGAATGTAGAAACAGCAGAGAGTCAGGAATACCTTCCAGCAAGCCAGAAATTAAAGATATTTTCTAAATGTAAAACAATGCCACTTTTCTCACTATATTTATTTTTGCTTTGCAAATAGTTATTTTTCATAAAAACATTTATGTTAACATGTAACACACATTATTTTAAATGGATGAATAAATAAATCTTAAAATTTAGTTTCTAGTAGGGTAGATACTGATAGATGAAATCTACTTGAGTATACTATATGACTGCTCTGTTGAAATCTTTTCTATCCATTAGGGCAGTGATGGTGAACCTTTTAGAGACCAAAGGCCCAAACTGCAACCCCAAAACCCACTTATTTCTTGCAAAGTGCCACCACTGCAATCAGACTTGAACACTGGGGTTTTACTTTAGAAAAACCAATTCATACACTAGAAGAAAAACATAGTAACAAAGCTCTCGATACAAACAGCTGGCTGCAGCACGCGTGCCATAGGCTGGCCACCACTGCATTAAGCTAACTGAAAGCTTCTACAGCAGCCAATTAGGTAGCTAATCAATTTCTTGAACAAAAGTCAGGTGTGTTTTCATCATCACACCATGCCTCTATTTAGGAGCTTTCCACAGCCCCTTGCGTCATGTAAAGCCCCACGTTCTTTTCCTAGGTCAGTCTTCCTGAACCTGGCTGCTGCTGCTCTTCTCGTCCTTGTGACACGCAGGCTGCAGGGCCTCCTGCTTCTGCCATAGGGCTTGACACCTGCTGTTCCCGGCAGGGAAGTGCTTTCCTCCAGCTACTTACACGGTTCACTTACTCTCTTCCTCTCAGTTGCTGTGTAAGTGTGCCCGATTAAGGGGCCTTCTGTGACTGCCATGTGTGAAAAGAGCAGACACACACACACGGCTCTCCTCACCACTGCTTTCTTTTCATCATCACACTTAACGGCCACCTGACATTCCCTACTGGCTTATTCATCCTGTGTCCTCACCAAGACTGTATCCCAGAATCCTCAAGGACCTTCACAGTGCCCAACACATACTAGGTCTTCTTGATAACTATCTGCCAAGTGGCTGGCCTGCCCTCCAGACTCACCTCCCACGGCTCCAGCTGGGTGGAGCTGCTGCAGCTTGTAATACACCAGGCTTGCCTCATCTCCAAGCCCTTGGCCAGGCCTATAGACCCTCACACGCCCTACCACGCTGCTTCTTCACTGGGCCAACCCCTTCTCATTGGTTAGGTCCCAGCTCTTCTAGGACGTGGGCCTCTCCAACCCTCCAGACTGGCTGAGTCCCTCCCTCTCTGTGTTCCCACCGGCCCCGTGTACATCGCTATCCCAGCACCACTTGATGACTTTGCAGTTCTCTACATCCTTGACAACACCGCGCTCCTTGAAGGTGGAAATGCCCACTCTTCCGTGTATGCCCTGCACCTGATGTGTTTTTGTCTCAAAATATGTCCACAGCATGAATCACTGTGCTGACTCCTTTGTTTCAATGCTAAGGACTTACCAAATTACTTGAAGAGATAACAGAAATGCCCTTTGGTTGGGAGCTCTCAGAGGAGGTGAGCTCTCTTCAACCCTGTTTATTCTTAGTCGCCACCACCCTCCAGCCACACTTGCCCCACCGCTCCCCTACCCTGGGCAATCTCGAGCTGTCGCTTTGCATCACCCAGTGCAGAGAACAGGTCCAGCTTGATTCTTGTCTCTGCGCTCAGGCTGTTCTCCAGGTGCTGCGTCTTGTCTTGCATGGCAGAGAGGGCTGACATTAACACCTCGGTGTCCTTTTCATTTTCCTTGTATTTCCGAAGCTCCTATCAATATCATCAAGACAGCAATGCTACAAGGCAGTTTTGGCATTGATGTCTATAAATAAGCCTGAAATTACAAGTTAAATCCCACTATTCATGACGTAGTCACAGTCACTAGATCACAGAATCGTAGTGTTTCATGGGTTTAGAACTCACTACTTGGAGCAAGTGCCAAATGTATGTATATGGTGGTACACACAGAAACATTTAGTGTATAATCATTTGACTATGTGGGGCACATGTCTGGATAATAACGGAATCTACCTCCAAATCAAACACTGTCTTCAAAGCCTAATTCAGAAACACAGAGAACTTTTTTTCTTGCTGGCTACTTGCAAACATAGCTGTAATTCTGCTGTCAAATTTGCTATAATTTTTGTCTTAAGCTACATTCAAAGCTCCAAAATGGGGCTAGGAATGTAGCTCAGTGGTAGAGTTCTTTCCTTCCCCCACATCAGATGGATAACGTGCCGACGAGGTAACAAGGTTTGAGGGAGGCACATCTCGTAGAGGGCATGGACACCGTCATCACGCTCACGAACTGAAGGATTGTAGAGTTCTTATCTAGCATGCTGAAGGCCTTGGTTTTAATGCTCTCCCCACAAGAAGTTCATTATTTTGACAAGGTACACTGCAGAATAACTTAAACAGTTGGTAATGTAGCCAGTAAGTACATATTTGGGTTCTTTTTCCTTTTTCATTTTTTGGTTGTACTTGGGATTGAACAAAGGCTGAATACATACCCAGTTCCACTTTCCACCCTATTTAAAAAAATTTTTTTTAAGATATGGTCTCACTAAATCACTAAGTTGCCCAGGCTTTCTTGAATGTGTGATCCTCCTGCCTCAGCCTCCCAGAACGCTGGGTTTACAGGTGTGTGCCAGCACACGTGGCTGAAAATAAAAAACTCGATCGCCATATGATATCTCTGCATATACATATCATAATTTAAATAAAAATCTCCCATCAGTAAGACTACATCTATTGTTTTTGCATTTATACTGTATACATTGAACATTTCTATATATTAAACACTTGTGAGAGCTTTAAATATTTATCTTAGTACTAGATTCATAAAAAGGGATATACATAAAAAGTACATATTTTCTAGAATGTTATTACTTCTACCAGCAATGCATGAGGCCTATTATATAGCATCTTTATCAAAACTAGTATTATCATTTAAAAATTCTTCGCAGGGGCTGGGGATACATAGCTCAGTGGCACAGCATCTGCCTGGCAAGCATGAGGTCATGAGTTCGATTCCCAGTACCAAAAAAAGAAAAAGGCCATACAAAACTTCTTTGCCAATTTTGCAGATGAACATGATTTCTAAATTTAATCTGCATTCTTAGATGATTAATGAAGATATACTTATCAATCACTTGTATTTGTTCTGTATTTATTAATTTATGTCCACTGTTTTCTCTGTATATGTGAGCTTTTCTTAGCAAATTTTACAAGCTATTTATACAGTGAGTATATGAATTGTATTTGTTGCAATTTCTGCACCTTCCCCAGCTGATTTTTCTTTTACCTGTGATTGCTTCCATTGTTTCCATGTTCAGAAACATGTTTCTATTTCAAGATCAAATAAATTCTACTATGTTTTCACCTAGCTTTTAAAAAATCATTTCTTTTTCTGTGTTGAACCTTTTACCTGGAATTTCTTTTCGTGTGTTATGAGATAAGCTTCTGATTTTACTCTTCCCCAGTTACCCACTATTCCAAAGCCTTCCCCTGACTCTTGCTCCCCTTCCTGCCTACCTGAGTGCATCTCTAACATGCTTCAGGCTCTGAGTCCAGGTCACACATTCTACTCCAGTCTCTCTAACTTGCCAGTAATTTCCTACCAGTCCCACACAATTCAAACTACTATACCTTTATAATATACAATATTAATTTTAAATGTCACTTTGAAAAGCTGATGCCAAATCTGTGGCTGAAGTACAAAAGCTGAAAAAACTGGCTCTGTCCATCTCCAGCGCATTTCCTTACCACAGAGAGCTCAGAACTACAGTCTGCAGGCCTCAGAGCCACCCAGGGGGGCCCGTTCTTGGCACCAGACTAAGGGTTAGGGTTAAGAAGAGATGTGTGAGTTTCAGAGGACAATAATCTGGCCCATAACCTAAAAAAGTCATTTAAATCTACAGTGAGCCAAATCCTGGTGTAAAACATGTCAAGAGACTGTCAACATTTCAGACTTATATCAGAATCTGGCTATACTAAATTAGACTTGAAATGGGCTGAACAAGATTAGAGCCTCAAATCTTCTTGTCATATACAGATTTTTGATGCAATGGGATTTGGTCTATATCAAAGGCACTATCTCTACAAAGTAGCACAAAGCACAAACCTAGGCTAAAAGAAATGCAAGAGTGAAGGACTCTTATATTTCTCTCTTACCTGAACTTTCAGTTCTAGCTCTCTGATCTGGTCTTCTTTCACCTTCATGTCCATTGTGAGCTTCTTGCCCTCTGCTTCTAGTTCTCTGATGCGATTCCGTAAGGTTTCAGTACATTCTCCCCTTTTAAAAAAGAAAAGAAAGGAATTTGAAAGCCTATAAGGTTATATTTCCCTTTGTATCCAAGGGGAAATGGTTCCAGGAGCCCCTGCAGACTTCTGAATCTATAGATGTTCAAAACAGCACACTATTTGCATATAGCCTACTACATATATCCTCCCAGATACTTACAGCCGTCACTAGATTACTTACAATACCTAATATGATCTAAGTAGTTGTTACACTGTATTGTTTAGAAAATAGCAACAAGAAGAATAAGTCTGTACATGTTCAGTACAGGCATAATTCATTTTCTTTTCTTTTTTTTTTTTTGGTCTTTTTGAGAAGACCATAGGATCTCGCTATGCAGTTCAGGCTGGCCTTGAGTTTTCTTGGTAGCCCAGGCTGGTCTCGAATTCACAATAATCTTCCTGCCTCAGCCTCCCGAGTGCTGGGATTACAGGCGTGTGCCACCATGCCCCGCTCTTTGTTTTCAAATAGATTCTACCTCCATTTGGTTGAATCTGTGGACCCGGAACCCACAGACAGGAAGGGATGACGGCACTTACATGGCGAAACTGGCATTTTTCTTATACTCCAGGGTCCATAAAGGATTGGCTTTTGGTTTATATGCTCATTCTATTATTTGATAATTTCAACAATGATCTAAAGTAATTAGTAATGTATGTCTACATGTGCCAATCCCTACCCTCAATCCTTACAACCTTCCCCTATCTTCCAGACAAGAAAGTAAGTTCAAGACCTCCTAGCTTGTAGGTCACAGAACTGGGGTAAGAATTGCAGTTTTCTCACTTCCCAACCCAGCATGCTTCCCACCAGGTCCGTGGTGACTTGAGAAAGCACACAGAACACAGCAAGGCGGAACTAACACGTGCCATCTCCACCAGAGGGCAATCAGCTTAAACATCCCTGTTTTCCTACTTCTGAGGGGCTGTATATGAGGAATTTCGCCTTTTTAGTCACAAAGCTGCTGTGAGCTTGGAGTAAACTGAAAAAGGAAGCAGCACTAGGCTGCTTCTCAGGGCCACGGAGGGCTCAAGGACAGGGAGTTGTGGCCAGTCCAGAGCAACTGAACTATTAGTGCTGAGGCTCCAGAAGAGTCTGATGAAAAAAAAAAGTGTCCTCTGCCTACCAAAGGTCCCAAAGAGATTGGCTTACAAGTAGAGACAGTTCCACATTAAGTGACAACAAACAAGGACTATCCAAGGATAAGACAAAAACAAATAAGCTTAACTGGAAGAAAGAGATTCACGAGAGATAAGAAAACAAGTGGCTGAATCTCAGGCATGAGAAACACTAAATAATATGGTTAAGGAAGTGCGATAGGGCCAGGGGTTTAGCTCAGTGACACAGCACCTGCCTGGCAAGCATGAGGTCCTGAGTTGGATTCCCTGCACTCCAACCCCGATCCCCAAAAGAAATTGCTATGTACTCCTCCGTGAAAGGTTTTAAGAAGGATGGATGCTCAATGAGTTAAGGAGAGTACAGGCCACATTGGATGACTGGCAAAATTTATCATAGAAGAAATGAAAATAGGTAGGAAGATGGGCTGGGAAGATAGCTCAGTGGCATAGCACCTGCCTGGTAAATAGGTAGGAAGAGGATAAGGGAAATCGTAACTTTAAAATTGTACTTCTAAGAAAAACTACATTTTTAGGAAACAGAAGTTACTCAAGGTTACAAGACCTTTTTCCCTTCCAAGGAACTCAGTCTAAAAAATTCCTAAAGACCTTAAAGATACCACAGCCCTATGAGTCGGGCTCTGGGCCCTCTGCTTCTCATAAAGCACTCATTCTCCAGCTATTAGTAGATAGCACATCTCAACTTCAAACACATCCAAATGGCTTACATTCTAACCTGGTCTACCAAATGAGGAGCCTGACAGACAGTAGGGTTACACATCCTGGATCACCCATCTTGAGGAGAACCCCAGGATCAATCTCACTTACAACCCCCTACCCCAGACTATAACACATGTCTTTCTTGACAATCTGCTGAGTGTGTACTTTACTGGGTTTTTCTGAGACAAGGTCTTGCTACGTAGTTCTGCCTGGCCTTGAAATGACTGTGTAGTCCAGGCTAGCCTTCAACTCCCAGCAATCCGCCTGCTTCAGCCTTTTGAGCACTGGGATCACAGGTATGTGCCACAACACACGGCTCATGAGTGTATACTTTAAAGTACTGCCTCATAAGTCTTTCTAATGCCTCACATCAATGTATCCTACAATTCTCTTCTGTGATATAAGACAGCAAACTCATAACCTACCCCATGGGCAGGGTGAGCTGAGGTACCCATCTCTCTTTGGGGGATGTCCTTGGATCCTTTCGGGTGACCCAACTGCCTGTGAGTCTGTCTAGATACAGATAAACCACAAAGCTCAGCCACTTGCAGTCAAGAGTCTGAGGGATAGGAGGAGGCATTATCACACCAGAGAAAGAGTTCTCACTACTCACTGTTATTTCCTAAAGGGTGAAAGGATGGTTCACCAGTTATTCTGCAAATGCCAGAACCCAAAAAGTCTACAAACACGCCAAAGGTTGGCAACTAAATTATCTATTTAATACAATAAAGCAAAACTCTAGGAAAAACTACAGTTGAGTTATACCACACAGATACAAATTAGGAAAAAAATTAGCGTGAGATAATCTATCCTCACTCTGCATCCGTTACTGACCCTAAACATACAAACAGACTTCTCTAGTTGAAGGTGAGGCGGGAGGGTGTAGAAGGGGGGAAGAAGAGGAGGAAGAGGAAGGAGGAGGAGGGAGGTGGTGAAGTAAACTGTAAAAAAAGCTCTTCACTATTTTCTCCTTACTGAATTCAGGTGGCAGTCACAGACCAGTTTTTGGAATACCTACAGCTAGGGGTATTTTATTGGTACAGGATGCAGTCCACAATTGTTATCATTCCACAAATTTAACTGCATCTTTTAGAGACTAATTTTTCATCTCACTTGATAGTATGCTGATATCCAGCAAAGTCTTGAACTAGTCAGCATGTGGTACAGTACTCGGGTAACCAAGGTGTTACTGTTCTTACCTTTTAAGATTAAAAACTCAGAAATACCTACACTTTAGAGTGGAAAACAATGACAGCCCTATAAAGAGAACAAAATTCCAGAGGGGATCTCTGAAAGCATTTAGTGACCATCAGTCTTACTGAAAATGACTGGAAACCTTCTCTAAGCAGCGCTTGGTATAGTGCCTTCCCTGATCTTGCTTTCTAGGTGAGGTCATTGAGGAAGGAAATCATTATAAGATAATCTGGCACATATGGAGTTGAAACCAGCTAATAAAACATTACTTAAAGCAATCCACCCACACATGATAGTTGTCTATCCAACCCTACCCAAGGGACAGGGAATGCCAGTCCCAGATAAATACCAGCTGGCGTGCACATACCTAGATGCAGCAGCAAATGCAACAGCTCGGGCAGCTGTGGCTTCTTCTAACTTCTTCCTTTTTTTCTCCTCCATTAACTGTTTTTCTACAAAACTTCGGGCTTCTTGCTCAGCTTTGAGCTTTTTCTCCAGCTGGCTGATATTCTGCTTGTCTTTTTGTTTCATTTGCACAGCATTATGTAACCTATATGGAAAGAGTTGTCATACAAAGCCTTATAATTAGAAATACTGTAAAACATGGCTTCTTTATTACTTTAAAGTCAAGTAAACCGGAGGTTTGAGCAGAAAATCGTAAGTATCAACTCCCAGTGTGCCCAGAGAAGACACACTGTCATTATTATTTAATAATTCCTAAACACCAATAAGACCCACAATCAGACCTACACTCTGCTCTGTTAAGGTAAATGATCTAGGGCCAGGGATACAGCTCAGTAGCACAAGTGCCTGCCTAGCAAGCACAAGGTCCTGAGTTTGATTTCCGGTAACAAAAACAAAAAACAAAACAAAAAAAAAGGTAAGTGATCTACAACAGGCAATTCAGAATAGAGGATATAGTTCTAACATAGCACAAGATAATTACAGAAATAACTCTAGTGCCTCAGTGCACTTTGAAAGAACTTCAGTGAGGTCCAAGAGTCACTGATGAGATTAGTCCCACCAAAAGGGAAACAGGGGGAGAAGGGAGGGAGTCTTCCTCTTCCAGAATACACGCATGCTACAGCCTTCCCCTTCCAGTTACCAGGTTTCTCAGTGTTCCCAAATAAATCTCTTAGAGTCACTCACAGCTTTACATATCAATGTGACGTGAGCTTATCATTAAAATGTTCATTACAGTAGTTTTCAATGCTACAACAATGTTGTTCAGGAGCAGTGGAGAGGCTTTGGCCTGTAATATTATAGCTTTGGGGTTACACTGCTTACAAATATGGAACTACTCACTCCAACAGTGAAAGCCTGGAGCCTGTAATAGTGATCACTATGACCAACACACATTGCCGATAAAAACAAAACAAAGAACAGCCCCACTCGGGGTCATCAAGTATTCTAGAATGAATGAATGAATGGAGAGCTTATAAGAATTTACCCATAAGAGCTGGCTTACTGCCTTGTTCTTCAAAGTTCAATGTCATATTTTGGTTCCAGGAAGGGTAGTCTGACCACCTGGATATTTCCACTCAAACGAACAAGATTTTCAAATTGTAGCAAAACTGCTTCTTATCAGTTTTACTTATCATAAAAACTCAGTAACTATTTTAAACATTTATTAAATGAGAGAAGAAAAATACCAACAATCGTAAACTATTTGTTGCAATGAAGTAAGTTTTATTAGATTTTTAAATCTGGTATTAAATTATTTTAAATATTTTGTTCAAAAACTACTCTGCTAAGTAAAGTCCCTTTGTCACCACGTATCTTGTCCTCCAATCCCTGGAAACATGATTAATAGCGAGGCTATGAGGTCCACAAGGTGCACATACTTGTTCTGCAGCAGCTCATTCTCCTGCCGGAGCTGGCCCATTTCTGAGCGGATCCCTCGTTCGGTGCTTGAGAGGGAGCTGATCTGACTGCGGAGCTCCTGTTCTACTTGCCTGCTCGCTTGCAAGTCAGCCTTTAACTTTTTAATGTCTTGTTCCAGCCTAGGAGAAGGAGAAATGCACATTTTCATCTCAAAGAGGGCTCCCCCAGGGCACAGTGAGGAACCCTGGCTGAGGTCCCAGACTGCTGGGTGGATGGCAGAGGCCCCACTGAACTCCCGTCTACAATCTGCTTAGTTCTATTCTGTTATTTCACTCGAGTCCCCACCTCTTTCCACTAGGTGTACCTTTTGATTTTCCCCAAATGTCTATGACACTGACAAGTGAAGGTGATGCTTGTGAATATCTGAGCTGCTAATAAAGGAGGAAGGGAAGGCAGAGAAAGTCGTTGATGACTAAGGTCCTCTCCCCAGTGGTGACTTTTCCATGCCTCCTAGGAAGGGAAATATGTTAAAACAACTAACTAGCTCATGACCTACCACTTACTGCTTTGGATACTCTGGTAGCTCAGACTCTACTATCTGAGACTCCCTCCCTCCATGGGCCTAGAAGAAAACAGTGTCTGCATCAATTTCCTGAAATTGTCTCCTTGCTAAATAATGCTCATACTTTTGGTAATTGTGGCAGAAGAGCTCATTAGACTCAACCATAGTGAAAAAAAGAATGAATTACACGCTCTAAGCATCACATAAGAAAACTCCATCTGTGTTATGCTTTGGATCTAGATGCACCCCCCTCCCACCCCCCAAAAACCTCATGCAGTCATAAGTGGGGCTTTTTCAGAGGTAGCTGGATCTATAGTGTGTGATACTGGGATTAATTCATGGTGCAATGCTAGGATCAAAGGTATTAGGATTAAGGGTGTAAGGGCAACCTGCCCTAAGTAGCCTGGACAAGATATAAGGGATAGAAAGCTGTAGTCGGCCCTTGCTTGCCTTGCTACCCTCTGCCCTGCCATGAACTGTTTCTCCTCTTTGATGCCTGTCCGCCATGCCGTCCTGCCTGAGCCAGCTGACTATGAACTGAAACCTCTACAAACTGCAAGCCAAATAAACCTTTCTTCCCTTAACTTTGGGCATGGGGTATTTTGTTTCAGCAATGAGAAAAGTAAGTCTGAACTTAAGTCTATCTTTCCAATTCCTTATTTCCTGTTTCATCTATTTTCTTCACTCTTTTGCTAGGGATTGAACCCAGGACCTCACACATAAGAAGCAAGTGATAAACCACTGAGCTACATACCCAGTATCTATTTTCTTTACTACAATAATAGTTTCTTCATAGGGTGTGTATTGGGGACCTATATGCCTAAGTAGTAAAGGATCAATAAAAAGTACAAAATCAAGTTCCTCTCTCTGTGGGAGGATTTCGCAAGTTCACCGAGGCCCCCCAAATAATTAAAATGATTAAACAATGACACAAGGAAGACTATGATTTTAATATGTTAGAAGGAATAATAACAACTACTACTTAATGAAAATGTTGCCACGCACTATTCTATACATTTTGATGGCATGAACTCATTTACTCTGTATGACTATGAGCAAAAGTGCAATTATTCTTCTCATTTTTCCAGATGAAGGAATCCAGGCTAGGAAAATCTTCTAGTCCAAGATCTCCCAGGCAACAGGCCCAGAGTTCATTCTGTTCACATAGGCCACAGTGCAGCCGCATCATCGACAGCATCGGACAAGCAAAACCGTTACTAGAACTCGAGAGCAGACTAGGAAAGACACTGTAGAGAGGATGGGAACTGAGCTGGGCCCTGAAGGCTGGACAAGCGCTGGAAAGGGATATAAAGGAACATTCTAAAGGAGAGTGGAGGGACACACGGTCAGAAACTCAACATCACTGTCACATATTTGAAGGCAAATGCCCAGTCTGACCTCTAAGGAAGCCATAGGGAAGAGTCTGGTAGATAGGATCTGGACAGTAGTGTTAAAGGTCATTCCAAGGATGTACAATGCCACACTGAGAAGATACTTTTTCCACCCGGATACAAACTTACAGGAAGCTTAAAGTCAGTTTGCTCTGGTGAAACTTTGTTTTGGTGTTGGGGTACTGAACCCAGGGCCTCACCTACACTAAGCATAGGATCGGCTAAGCCACACCATGGCCTCTGATAAAACTTTTGTGCATAGGACTAATCCAACATGACAAAAGGACCAAGATTTCTGGAGGGCCCTTGTGCTCTTTCTTTGGAACTGTCAGCTCCATAGATTAAGTCCTTACAGATGTTTATTAAGTAGCATAAATCCTCAGAGCCTACCACAACAATCAGTGCTTAACTCAATAATGTTGCTTATCTCCCTTAGAAAATCAAACAGAGCTTTATTTCCCTATTTACCACTAGGGAGCTTTTAAAAATCTGGAAAAGCCACAAATCCTGCAATACTGATGGTCATTTACAGGTGGAAGTCACCAGTTCCCCGCCCAGTGCCTGAGAACACGGCCTAGAAACCTCGTGTTCCAGCACAATGGCCTCTCCGGACACAGCTCAATCCCCAGGGAAGGGTCACAAGTCAACATCACACCACACTGATCCCATTGCCAGGGTTATTCCAGTTCAGTGTACTCTCAGAAATGCTCCGAACGATTACAGATTGGCATTTATACCACTGCCACACTGCACTGTCTCTCATTCACCTGAAGTAACCCATGGGATATATTCCAAAACAGGTAGATGCTGTCGGGTTATCTACGTAAGTTTGGCTGAAAATGTAACAGGTAATTTATCTTTCTTGAGATGTCAATTTCACAAGTGGAGGATTCCATTTTGGTAGAAAAGGTGAGTTTTTAGATGAGAATGGGGATTTACATTGGTTTAGTAATGGGATGGGGTGGGGGTAAGGTCCTGATACCAATTCTGTGACCCCAGCCAAGGCATGTAACCTAGGCCTCCGTTTCCTCCTCTGTGGCTAATGATCTCTTCAGCTCCTCCCAGGTTGGTCTAGGATTTCTAGGCCTGACACACTTAAGAGGTGGCTTGCTGATTTGCTTCTTCTGATTAACAAACTAAGCTATATCTTATGCAGATGCACAGGAATCAAGTTCCACACAACCAGCCTGAGGCAAAACATGTGCTGCAGCTGGGAATGAAAGTAAAATTAAATCTACAGAAGCTACATGTCAGTAACTTTATAGTTATTGTTTTCTCTCATTTTTTAATGTTTAAAAACCTATTTTCCTACCATAAGCTAGAGGTAACAATATTCTGAGTCAAACTTTAGAGTTCCCGGAAAATAATAAAAAGCCAAAGAGCTAGTGCAGATATGAGAACGAAATGTATAAAACATAACTTCTGGAGACCACAGACCACTAAACAATGTGTTTTTTAATACAGAACTCTACAAAAATTTTATCTTAAAAGTAAACACCAGCGGGCTGGGGATATAGCTCAGCGGCACAGCGCCTGCCTGCCAAGCATGAGGTTGTGAGTTCAATTCCAGGTACCAAAAAAAAAGTACACACCAGCACAATATGACAAAAATAAAAAGGTTACAAAAATATGCTCACTTTGTGAATATGCATAAATTGTACACTGAAGGTTTATGCACTGATGTGCATATATGTTATACTGCAAGAAGAAGAGGGTTTTTCTTTTATATATACTTTCAAAGTTTATTCTTACAAAATCACAGAACTAAAATGCCTCAGGATTTTCTTATCTGGTATCATTAACTTCACAAAGATCTGAGTTATTGCTTTCCAAACTGTTGCAGAAAGTCTAGGAGTCAACATCAGCAGTCCCTGTGTAAGAAACTCGACTACAGGAACAATGCCTGCTCTCTTATAAGATAACTTCCAAGTTCGAAATGACAAAATGCTCAGATCTTTTAAAATTTATGATGGGTAATTTTCTGTTTCCTCTTACAGAAAGCATTAATTTAACTCTGAAGGTCTATTATATGTTTAAAATCTTCACAAAGGTGGGCATAAAATGATTTACAACCTCATACTGGATTTTTTTTAATTGCAAGAATGATACCCAGTTAGTATCAAAAATAGTACACAGAATACAAAGAATAAAAATTTAAAGAGCTCATAATCCTCTCATCCAACAGACAACACACTATTTGTATTTGGTACGCTCCTTTTCTGTATGTCCTCTTTATTTGTGGAGCGGGGAACAGGGTTTTGGTATGTAGTCCACCCTGGCCTTGAACTCACAATGTAGCCCAGGCTGGCCTTGAACTCAAAGCAATCCTCCTGCCTCAGCTTCCCAAGTGCTGGGATTACAGGTGTTCGCCACCACACCTGGCTTATATGCATTTTTTTCTATTTTCTCATATGTGTAAGTGTAAACAGATAAGCAACTTCTCACACTATTAAAAAACTTTCATACACAAATGAAACAGTATTCCATTGTATGGATGTACTATAAAGCCCTATTTTCTAAAACATAGCTCAAATTTTACATTTGCTCATTAGAAAAACGTATGTCTCAAATTTTGAAAGAACTATATGACAGCCAGGTGTGGTGGTGCACGCCTGTAATCCCAGGACTCAGGAGGCTGAGGCAGGAAGATCGTTGCAAGTTGAGACCAGCCTGGGCTACAAAGTGAGCTTGAGGCCAACCTGAATTGTATAATGAGACCCTGTCTCAGAAAGACCAAAAAAAAAAAAAAAAAAAAACCCACCAAAAAAAACTATATGACTTAGTAAACTGAACTGAATCAAGTCAGTTCAAGCTAGGGGCATTTGTTAAATAGGCACTACCTGTCTTAATGACATATTTAACCTTTTGTACTGAAGGTTAATACTTCCTAAGTAAAATGTAGATATATAATTTATTACTGGGAAGTACTAAGAAGTTTTGATTAAACTGTGTTAAGAGGTTAATGCAAAATCTTCAGATATGTTCAGGAGATTTTACTAAACCTAAATCAGAGGTGGTATACATACATACATACATACATATATATACATATATATCTATTTTATATAGAGAGCCAAAAATACATATATCAGCTAAATAAAAACTTGTATGAGTATTTTAATAATAAATTTATTGAGACTTCATGAGATTAATACAAGTTAACTTTGGCCTCTACAATTATAAGAGGTGCTCAAAGTGGTGGCCATGAGCTTCCAGACATTCATCT